AACCTCGAAGCGATGGCCTCCAACCTCGAAGCGATGGCCTCCAACCTAAGAGCAATGGCCTCCAACCTACTAGTGATGGCCGCCAACCTCGAAGTGATGGCCTCCAACCTAGGTGTTTTGTGTTTGCTCGCGAGGAACTCCTCTACCTTCACCACTGAGCCCGAAAAGCTCAAAAGCGCCGTGGAGAGTTCCGCGCCCACGATCTCGGCTCCTGTGGAAGCCGGGGATGAGGCCACTCAGACCGCAGCGGTCTGACTATAACACCAGCTCAGGCAGTCGTGCAGACACTGAGGAGGGGGAGGAGGTCAATCGAACCAGGATTGTGTGAGCCTCTCTCTTGTCTGGTCAAACCAGGATGACCGAAAGAGTTGGAGTTTGTTGTATAGAGGTCGAAGAGATTCGTACTCGGGAGAAGTACTAGAAGGGCTGATCTCTCAAGCTTTGTGAGATGTTCTTTTGGTTTGACTAGATTTATGTGTATATGCGGCGCCTGGGTCCTGGTATGTAGGTCAAGAATTGAGGTGAAAAATAAGCTTCTACTCTGTTGGAGATTGTATGGATGGGCATGATGGGCAGAGCGGTTTGCTTGTCTTGGACCTTGGCGCATTGACTGAAGCCACTCGGCTGCAAAGCAGGCCAAGTGTGCTTCTTGGTAATGGATCCTCAGCTGCAAAATGTGTCCAGCTGTAAAGAATCTAAGGGTTGAGTTCGAGCTGTCAAGCAAAGTATGGTTTTGAACTTCAACTTGTCTTGTGAGCTTGGAATGTTCACATTGTTCAAGCTAATGGTAAGTAGAAAGTTGTCCAAACATATGCACGCTCCTAGATCTTATTTGTTTGCAGCCATCAGTTAATGATGCCAAATGAACGCAACCTGAGCTGGATGCAGTGAGCCTCTTTTCCGCTTCATGTCTCCGCTTGGTCCTGGGTGCTTTGCTTGAGAGTTAGGGTGGGAGAGGAGTCATTTGGAGATGGACTCAAAGGTAGGAGACTGGGGTTGTCCTCGCCCACCTTCCCGGGACCTTGTTGCCTGGCCAAAAGCCAAGCAGGATACATGGATGCACCTTCTGCAACATGAATGCTCACAGCTGCCAAAAGACGTGGTGTCTCATGTCTAAAAGCTCTTTGTTGAGGAGCTCAGTCAGTTTGCCTACTGATCTTGATGACAGATGTCAAATTTGACAGCGGCGTCCATTACTTGGGGCGGGGTTGTCACGACCTATTCCCGCCAACAATTTGTCCAGCGCTTTGGTCTTGGTGCTGCATCGCCTGCGGCTTACTCATAGCTGCGCAGAGCAAACTCTGCGGAGCTGCGATGCAATAAGCTTGCAAAGGTGACACAGCCACCGCGACGTGCTCAGATGTCAAGGAAGGATACGCTGATTAGATTGTCGTGTGATAGCATGAACAAGTTGAAGAAGAGATGTTTGTCGTCATTTCTTCGTCAGATACCCCAAGAACACCAACTCTGTGAAAGCAGGGAGCTGACAAGGTTCATGTTGGCTTGACATTTGCCAGTCGTTATTTTCGGACCAAGAGGTGCAGCAACTTCAATCGCAAAATCCATTTCCATAGCCCCCCATTCTGCAATTCAGCAGCCAACAGCCACTACTAGGAACAAGAAGCTACTAGTAACAAGGGCATTGCTACTAGTAGCTCCGGGCCTTGCTACTAGGAACAAGAAGCTACTAGGAGCCAAAAGGGCATTGCTACGAACGGAGCATGGACGCTACGAACGGGGCACTCCCGGCATGACTACTAACAAAAAGCTACGCGTCCGATGAAACGGTGATGGACCCCTTGAGCGCTTTGAAGAACGAGAAGAAGAACGAGAACGCGCCCTGGAAGTACGAGTGGGTGAAGAGGAGAGTGGGGGAAGAAGAGGAGAGTTTGAAAGTCCATGCTCGGAGCCGAAAGGTCCATACCTAGGATCAGATGGGCCAAAACAATGTTCCTCCAGTACTTGCTTAAAATTACACCAGCATAGACCCAGATAGCTAGGCAGAATCCCACGACCTGTTGACATGAGACTGGCTGGAACAAGAATGCACAGCCAGCTTACGGCGCCTCCACAGCGCGCACATGCAGCTGACACCGGCACCGGTGCGCTTTGCCAGCTGACAACACCGCACCAGCACCCAGGACCACAACACCAGCACCAGCACCGACACCCTTTCAAAAGCGCGCGCAGCCAGCTGATTCCTATTTGCAGCAAGAACCCCATAGCTATCCCTATTTGCGGAATAACAACGTTCGATCTTGCGCGTAAAGGTTTATGCGCACAAAAGTATGCGCGCAAGCAGCAAAGCCCGTAAGTATCATTGGCCCAACACCAAGCAGTATCCAGCGCGACTATTGATTTTGTGGCATGCTTGAAGCAACGATCTGTAGAACGATAATGCCGTATGATCTTGCGCGTATAAGTTTATGCGCACAAAAGTATGCGCACAAACTCCAAAGCCCGTAGGCCTCACTCGCCCAAGGCAAGGCAGTATCCAGCATGACTATTGTGTGTGTAGCATTCTGAAACATGCGGTCGGTTGAGAGCCTGACGTTGCGCATAGAACATTATACGTACAAAAGTGCGCGCGCAAACAGTACAGCCCTTGACACAGCTGTCGGCCAAAACAGAACCTGAAGAGTGTAAATACCCCACAGCGCTAATAGACAAAGAGCGCTCAAGCGACAACACCGTATGATGTTGCGTGCATAAGTTCATGCGGCCCATGACTGCTGGCACTTCACTGTCAGAAGCGGCGGTTGTTATCACTTCACTGTTAGAAGCGGGCGCCGAGCACCGGCACGCCACCTCACGGCACCCTGCACCAGCACCCAGCACCGGTACCCAGCACCAAGCACCAACCCCCCAGCACCCGGTAACCACGCGCCAGCACGGGCACCCGGCACCCTGTCTCCACCACGTGCACACCCACCTCGCAGCACCAGCACCAGCGCCGGCACCCTGTCTCCACCACGTGCACATCCAGCTCACAGCACCGGCGCCCAGCACCAGCACCAGCAACCTGTCTCCACCACATGCACAGCCAGCTCACAGCACCAGCACCG